CATGGTAACATTTCTTATTCTGATCTATTATTTTATTATTATGAAGTATCTGTTCTTTTTAGAATTTAGGAATCTGACGAATAAAGAAATCAGATCACTGCATAAATAGTAGCGGTGTTCCACGACTCGTGATAGCCAGTCCTAAAGCATATGATAAATAATTATGGCATGATTGTAAAATGTGACTAAAAATTTCCTGGTCAATATCAAATAACGATTTTAGAACTCGTGATTACATACAAGCCGTCGATGAGATAGCTTTCTTAAATGTATTTGAATATTTAAAGGGTAATAAATGTACAGAGTACCATGGTATCTGGTGCTTATCGCTACTATGGAAAAATTGTTGGGCATTTTGTATGATTAACATTCGACTTGCATTAAATATGTTTGTTGATATGACACCCTTTAGAAAACCGCGGTCGTGATAGCAGAAACGTGATAGCAGCGGCGGCGGTGAAAAGCCGGCGTTCCGATTGGATCTTCCCTATATACATATACATATGGGAAAATCTAATTTTTCGATTGGACGCGCTCAGAAATGACCTAGGGAGTAAAATCTCAACTGCTTAGCGTTTTATAATATAAGAGATATTATATTATGTTGTAATAAGCTTTTAATTGTTAGTACTTAAAAATTAGGTTAAGTAAACAATTAAAGGTATTAAGAAATATCATAACAAATAAAATTAAACAACAACAAAAAGCATACAAGTAGGCTAGGATAACAATAATATAAATTATGCAAGATGCAGTAAAAAGAAATGTTAGTATATAAAAACTAGGTTAAGAAAACATTTATTTTGTAAACGAATTATTCAGTTATTTTTACATTATTCATCAAAATTTAAGATGTGTATGTAAGGGAGTTGTTAAAACGGGAAAATGGACAGAGGTGGTAATCGTGTGACTCGATTATCACTGGACGTCGTGATTAAATAAAAACGCATTACAATATTTTTGGTGGTTGATTTATCAGCGTATACGACAAAGTGGCGCCCAACTCGTGGCTTGTTACTCTACGACCATTTGTGTGTGTGTGTGTGTGTGTGTGTGTGTGTATTAAACACGATTTTAAGGGACATACCAGTGTGTGTGTGCTGTTTATACGCGATTTCATCTGCATTCTACAGGGTGTTTATTTAGACAACGGAGAAGGTTAGAATTTATTTATTTTTAATTATTTAACTAATTATTTATTTTTATTTACATTTTTAAAATTTTCTTAATGGGATATGAACAAAGACGTTAATAGGACACTTGCTATATCAAAATTAACAGACATTTATCTAAAAAAAAAAACCAGAATTAATAGAAATTTGCATATTAAATAAATTAAAATCAGTAGGTACAGTTTAGGAAATAAGGACTAGATTATCGAATTTTTGTAAGGAGAAATCAACATTTAATGACCTAGAGGATACTTTAAACGAAATTGAAAAACAGGGTGTTATAGATACATCAAGGAAAAATAGAATCAAGGATACTGATTTAGAGGTGGAATTGAATGAGACAATAACTAATGATGAAGAATTAAATAGAGAGATAGCAGAGAGTAAGAAGGTATATGAAAATTTAACTAATAAAGCGCAGGATATTTCTCAAAAATTGAAACAATCATTGGTGGTTGTGAAAGTTACTATCAAAATAAGGTAGATGATTATGAATTTATTGACATTAATAACCAGAAATTAGAAGCAGGACCTAGCAAACAAAATTTTACCGGAAAATTGTCCAACATCACAAAATTTAACGATACGGTAGAGCAATTAGATAAAACATAGGTGAAAGAATTTGTGGACAATAGTAATTTTTTAACATATGATAATTTGTTTGAGTCTGGTAACAATCTATATAACAATAGTTAAGAAACAAAGTGAAAGAAAATGAGTACCTTTTTATGACGAAGTTCCTTCAGTAGATTATAGTATAACAAATAACAATTTAAACGTTGAGTTGGTTAATGAAACTAATTTAGTTAGCGAGGGAAATTTAATAGTTGTAATTAAAGGAGAAAATAAGAAAGAACAATTAATAAACAATATAAAAAAAAATCAAGAGAAAAACATCATGAGTGAACGACCGAGAGCCTTACACGTAATTCCGGAACATTTCTCTGAGAGTGATGACTTAAAAAATTGTTTGAGACAATATTCAATGATTATAGAGTTTAAAATAATTGGTCGGAAAAAGATAAAATAAGTTTTTACCAATGTTTGTGTAAGGTACAGCTAGCAACTTTTTGGACAATTTATACAATACAAAAAATAACTGGACATGGAAGGAAATAGAAGAGGCGTTTATAGAGCAAAATCTCCCCATAGGGCATTTAACGTTTTTAAGAACGACCCTAGAAAATAAGAGACAAGGAAAGTCCGAAACAGAAACACATTTTATGACAGAAATCCAAAGCTTGTGTGGACAGATTGATAATAAAATGAAGGAAGAAAATGTATGCATCTATGTGTTAAAAGGACTTAAGGAAAATATATTACAAACAATTTCTATGCAGGATAATACAACTTTAAAGAAATTAAAAGAAAATTTAAACAAATTTGAATTGATGCAACACAGAATAAGCAACTGAGGAGCAATCACAAGCGAATATACGGATATATTAAATTTACAAGTAATAAAATTACAAAAGTATCATGATGATAAAGAAAGTGAGGAGAAAAAGAAACTTCAGGAGGAGAATGAAGGGTATAAAAGAAGAGTAGACCAAATAAGTGAAGAAGTAAGGCGTTTAAACATTCTAGGTAGACAGTCTAATAAAACAGTTGAATTTGAAGGTAGTACGACGAAGAACGATATAGAACATATAACCCAGATAGAGAGACAAGAGGGCGAAATTATGATAGAAATAGAGATAATGTCAAGAGGGAAGAATATAGGTATAAAAGTCCGTTCCCAGGAAGGTCACGTGAACAAAGTCAGGATCAAGAGGTTACAATAGGAGTAGATCTTATTCAAGGGAAAATCAGAAAAATAATAGAGATAGGTCTTATTCAAGGGAAAATCAGAAAAATAATAGAGATAGGTCTTATTCAAGAGAGAGGGCATATCAACAAAACAGTATTTATAATAAAAATAGAAGTATAAACACTTATAACAGACAAGATAGTAGAGACAGACGCAGTAGTAGAGATAGACAAACGAGGTCAAGAACACCGGAGAGATATAGGAATGAGGACAAGCAAGGAGAAATGAAAGGAAATATGGAATCAGTAATATGTTACAAATGTGACCAAAAGGGACACTATGCTACACAATGTTACAATATAAAAAACTAAGAACGACCGGGTTGGGAGAAAAATTCGGACAAACAACTCGGGAAGATAATAAAACAAAAATAAAAATGGGGTTGGATAACAATGAAAAGGAAGAATACCTACACTTTGTAAGAAAATGGCACGAAAATAAATTTATAAAATACGAATCAAATGAACAAGACGAAACAATGAGGAAAAATAGAGTTTCATCAATAAAAATGCAATTTGAAAATAAAATAGAACATGCAATATTAGATACAGGGTCAAATATTTCATGTGTAGAATATTCCCTGATTAAAAACAAAGATGAGATTGTCCCAGAAAAGCAAACATTTATCACTGGTGCTGAGACTCACTGGTGTTAGAAAACATAGGAACAATACAATTAAAAATAGACGTACGAATATCGTAGCAATAGACGACACGCGTTCTGTAACGCGTCAATACCCGCATTTCATTTTTAACGTGAATTTCAACGTGACAATACGTGCAATATGTCTCGAAAAGATCTCTCCCTAAAGGAAAAAATCGCGATTTTAGACAAAGTTAAATCGCTACCTACAGGCACTTCACAGCGTAAAATTGCTGAAAAATTATGCGTTCCGAAATCAACGGTGGCGAAACTGCTCAAAGAAGAAGTCATTTTACGCGAAAACTTCAATTCAACTCCAACTGGTAATCAAAAACGTAAACGAGAAGGGAAAGATCTCGAAGTTGACGAGGCCTTAAGTGAGTGGTTTTCATTGATAACAAGTCACGGTGTTCGCGAATCTGGGCCAATGTTAAAATGTAAAGCCGAAGAATTATCCCGGAAAATTGGTAACAATCAGTTTATTGCCACTGATGGTTGGTTAAGAAGGCGGAAGAATAGACACTAGATAAAATTCAAACGTGTGTATGGTGAAAAAGCAAGTGCTGATGAATCTGACTCTAATGATTGGAAAGTTGACAGGCTAAAAATAATTTTGAACGACTTTTCCCCAGATAACATATTTAATGCAGATGAAACTGGACTGTATTATCGAGCGACACCCGACGGTTCGTTATGTTTCAAAAAAGACGTTCTATCTGGTTAAAAGAAAGCAATGGACAGGATTACAGTCTTATTATGTGTCAATATGACCGGGAGTGACAAAAGAAAGCTGCTAGTAGTGGGAAAAAGCTTAAAACCTCGATGTTTTAAAAATATGTCTATAAATAAAATGCCAGTGCATTACCATGTGAATAAAAATGCATGGATGACTTCAACCATATTTTCAAACTGGCTATATGAATGCTATAAGGAAATGCAAGCAAAATCTAGATCCATACTTCTTCTTATTGATAACTGTGCTAGTAGATGGAAATAGCCGATTCTGATACCTGATCCACTGATCCCACTGATCCCTGATCCTGATCCCCTGATCCTGATCCACTGATCCCACTGATCCGCCACCGCCCGCCGATCACTTACGTGCGCGACATACATGTTATCAGTTATCAGTTATCAAATAAATTGTTATCACAAATGATATCTTTTGCAACCGTTATCATTTGTTATGTGGCGGACCACGAGCGTCTCGGGAGCAAAATTGCGCAACCAATCAGAGGTGTTCACATTTCTTATCAATATTTGTTAAAATCACATTTCTTATCATTCGTTATACAAATTATAACATGATAATAATTTATATTGTAAATTGTAATATGCGGTGAATGGTAATATATAATATATTGATATTATTTTAGTTACAAACTTAGTACTTCAGTTACTTCACTTTTACTTGCAATAAGGGACGATAATACTCCTATTCCAGCTTCTAATTGGTTTTTTATTTGAATTAATTGTTCATGTTCTTTGTCCGTATTTGTTTTTACTATTGATTTTTCAATTAAATTTATTTCTGCAGCAGGAATTAGAATTTTTTTTTCTTTTTCACACAAATTATTTTGAGTATTTGATACAGAAAGATTAGCACAGGCATGAATATGCTTGCATATATTTAATTTAATTATATAATCACTACATTCACAAGTATAATTATGAATGCATATATTACACATGCGACAAACTAATCGACAGTCTTCAGTGTTACACACATCTATAGTGTGAATTACTTCATATGCCATATTTGTTTCTTTAGCAGATATCTCCCAACGATTATCATCAATTACTTTAATAGTTTCAGGGTTTATTTGTACTCCAATATTATGACTCTTAATTATATTTTCTTCTTTAGCAGTATATTTATTTTTAACCAATTTAATAAACCTCTCAAAAATTGTATTTCTTGTGAATTTCAAAAGCGCATTTATACAGGTATCTAATCGCTTATTTTTTTTACCATGTAAATAATAATATTTTAAGCACTTATGCACTGACTCCAAGTACATGTTTGTGTTAATACCACAGTTTCTTCGGTGACAGTATGCCCACTGTTTGACTCTATTCAAGTAATAACTATTAAAATATTCACCAAATTGAATAGTATCATCGTCATCCATTATTTCAGCCATAAATCCATTTAGAAGTTCTGTAAAAAGAATTTCATTTGGTTCTTGATGCATCACTCTTAATGATTTATAAATTAAGCACTTCTTTTCAGGAGTTCCTTTTATTTTTGATTGAATATTTCTTCTCCAAGATTGATCCACATGCCATGTACACAAAAGTCGATGTTCCACAGGTAACATTATTTGTTCCCAAGCATTATAGTAAGATGGGTCGTCATCACTCATAAAAATTTGAGTACTAATAATTCCAATTTTATTTTTAAGCTGTTGAAAAAATATTTTCCACGTTACTGCGTCAGTTTTTTTTGAAATACAATATGCACATGGGAATCCGTTTCCAAATTCATCAACAACCACAATTGTTGTTAATTGAAGGCCATATTCATTGGTACAATGGGTACTATCAATACATATTTTTGAGTTTGAAGAGGTTCCAAAACGTTGAAGCATTTGGAGTTGAAAATTTGTAGATATTACCAATATAAAATTTTCTTTATCTAGGTTGTAATGTATAACTGGATTTTCTTCCTCTGGCAATTCTATCATTCGATGAATCCATATATTTACACTAATATAGTCAGATGAATGCTGACGACCTTCGTACAAATTAAAATCTCTTTTAATATTCCATAGATCCTTTTTAGTTATTAAAGTTTGAACTTTAAGTATGTCATGAACATTATCCCTTATATCATCTAATATTTTTTCCATTGTAACTCCTTCAGATATTTTACCTGAAAAGTAAATATATGAAAAATTATACACAAATACTTTATATCTAAAATTAATAAATAAATAATAATTTACAAATTCATGTAGCAACAAGAAATTCCTTGAATGTTGATTGTAGTTGAATGTTTTAAAATAATTATATTATTATAACACCATTCACTTGGATTCACATTATTAATGCCGCACAATATTAAGCAAAACAAAACACTTCACAAAACATATTAATAAACATAAAAATTCAAAAGAAACAATAAAAAATTAATGAAATTATTTAATTTATATATTTTTTAAATTTATTGTAACCCAAAGTTATTTAACCAGCAACCTATATAGTCCATTATTTGTAACGCAAAAGGTTATTGTAGGTTATATAAAAACATAATGAACACTTACTTAGATGAATTACTTAAAAAACAAACAGGTTTTCTATAGCACAAGAACCGAGTAACACTTGTCCTTTATTCACATTTACAATAATATATGGTGTAAATTAAGATTACCTGCAATCATGGCTCTTTCTTCAGGTGTTAAATTACATCTACCAAGATTCATACTATGGCCAAAATGAGTACTACAAAACTCTACACTGACAGATTCGTCTTCTGTTACTACTATCTGAGTATTAAAACAGAATATTGAGTAAAAAAGAACAAAACGTCAAGGTTAAGAAATTTTAAATTCATACCATTGACGATGGACATGTAGATNATGAATCCATATATTTACACTAATATAGTCAGATGAATGCTGACGACCTTCGTACAAATTAAAATCTCTTTTAATATTCCATAGATCCTTTTTAGTTATTAAAGTTTGAACTTTAAGTATGTCATGAACATTATCCCTTATATCATCTAATATTTTTTCCATTGTAACTCCTTCAGATATTTTACCTGAAAAGTAAATATATGAAAAATTATACACAAATACTTTATATCTAAAATTAATAAATAAATAATAATTTACAAATTCATGTAGCAACAAGAAATTCCTTAAATGTTGATTGTAGTTGAATGTTTTAAAATAATTATATTATTATAACACCATTCACTTGGATTCACATTATTAATGCCGCACAATATTAAGCAAAACAAAACACTTCACAAAACATATTAATAAACATAAAAATTCAAAAGAAACAATAAAAAATTAATGAAATTATTTAATTTATATATTTTTTAAATTTATTGTAACCCAAAGTTATTTAACCAGCAACCTATATAGTCCATTAATTGTAACGCAAAAGGTTATTGTAGGTTATATAAAAACATAATGAACACTTACTTAAATGAATTACTTAAAAAACAAACAGGTTTTCTATAGCACAAGAACCGAGTAACACTTATCCTTTATTCACATTTACAATAATATATGGTGTAAATTAAGATTACCTGCAATCATGGCTCTTTCTTCAGGTGTTAAATTACATCTACCAAGATTCATACTATGGCCAAAATGAGTACTACAAAACTCTACACTGACAGATTCGTCTTCTGTTACTACTATCTGAGTATTAAAACAGAATATTGAGTAAAAAAGAACAAAACGTCAAGGTTAAGAAATTTTAAATTCATACCATTGACGATGGACATGTAGATCCAATTTTGTTTGTGCCTTGACTTTTTATTTTACGGACACCTGTTGATCTACTTTGGAAATTACCAGTTCGATGACAATCCAGGTATGTAATGTTTTTATTCTGTCCGACAGTCTTACGAGCACTTAAGGCATAAAAACATAAATTATCTTCTTCTGTTTTTAATTTCCATTCTTTGAAATCTAAAGATATATATTTTATAATATAATATAAATAGAATTGTGACATACTAGTCTAGTCTTATAGTAAAACAGAATATTTAGTAAATCGCATTTACCATGAAGAGTTGCAAACGTTTTTTGTTCATTTAGTAATCTCACACCATGGTCTGACTCTATATGACATTTT